GTTTTCAAAGTGATGAAAAATGCAATCTCTCTGTCCGTCTGTCTGTCCAGGACTCTTGTTATGGACCTGAACATTTGCTGCACATCTCTCACAGCAACTAGTACTTAATCTGACAACTTTGTTTGTGTGTGTGTGTGTGTGTGTGTGTCTGTCTGTGTGTGTGTGTGTTGGTGTATGTAACATGTCTATCGGCAGCTTGCAGGAAAGAAATACACCCTGTGGGATGACTTCCGTGTTGAGGGCAGACGCGGCGGTCAGCAGGAAATGACCTTGGGAGATCTGGTCCAGTATATCAAGGTACAGCCTCCTTATTCCTCTCAGCAAGGAAACACACACTTTCTTCACACCCGGCGCTACATATTTTATGCACGGTTCTCTTTCCTAAACCTGTTCACCTTCCTCCAGTGCACACAATGCCCATTGTTTCAAATGATTGGCCACTTTACACCTACCATTCACAACTCCAGGACCCTTGTCTGCTATCCCGGAGGAAGGTCATGCTGTTGTTGAACTATCTACTTTATTCCAATGGCAATATTTAGAACCCTTTTCCCCCATTTTATATGTTTACTACTTATGCATGCTCATCTCAGTAACTATGGTTAATGAGGCACTAAACACACAATTCCATTAAGTCAGTGTCTGTAGTGCTTTCCATTAAACTGAGATAAAGTTTGTGCTCTTGTACCACTGACAAATAATGAGATAGTCAAATGCCTAATACATATATTTGCATCTGCTGGTTAATTTCAGAAAGTTACTGGGCCTCTAACAACATGTTAATTTCCCTCGTATTTCAAGTCTTTATGCTAAATTAGATTGTGGTAGCTTTATATATAACACATAGACATAATCTAACTCTCAGCAAAACATAGACTATGCACATTTCCCAAAACTTTTCCTCTAAGGCCTCTACCTAGCATCATACAATCTAGATTTTATGATTAGAAAGGAATGTGCTCAGATGGGTATATTGAGATAATTTGAAACAACTGGATAGAATCATGTTTCTTTTCTAATTAAGATGCTGCCTTGTACAACATATACACAGACGAACTAGGCTAATAGATGAGAAGATAAACATGTCAGAACTGTTCCAATTCAATCTTCTGTCTAAGTCAAATTGTTGGACAGATGACAGGAATTAGTACATGATTTCAAGTATTAAGTACATGAAATCCCTGTTGTCTGTACTAGGTAAGTTCAGCAATGAACCCATAACTTTGGTGCATGGATGCTTTGGCACTGACACATTTTATCTGTATTGTTTCTCTATCTTATCACCAGCAACCAGACACAGTAACAAGTGATACTCACTGTTTCCTCTACCTTGGCAGATGTCAAGCTGTCACTTACACCATCCCATAGCATAGATCAGTATTTATCATCTTGATGTTTGTTTTTCTGGCTGCTGCATATAGCAGACCATAACTGGTTCATTGGGCGGTTGCACCTTCTTGCCCTGAGCTGTCATTTGGTTTATTGATTATGCTGGAGTTTGTTCTGAGGAGGCAAAGAGAAAATAAACTGCCCAGTGATCCTATTTGCACCAGGTTTCATTTAACCTTTGACTGGCCGGTTTCCCCTGGTTTGTTTGTGAAGACACTGAAGAGCTTCCTGAACTGCTGAAGTTGTTTTAGGCCTCGGACCATCGTCCTTTAGCTCTGTGGATTGCTGTCTTTGTAAAAATTATCTCTGCATAATGCACGCAGGCCACACTCTATGTTCATCTCGTTTTATGTTTGTTATATTGTAACTTAAATTTAACTACATGTCTTTGTGCAGGAAGAATATAGCTTGACCATCACCCATCTCTTCTACGGAGCAGCTGTCATATATAGTGGGCAAGAAGACAGGCTCCAAAAGAGGTATGTCCAGCCAGACAAAGACACAGTGCAATTTTGCATATGCATGGCTACACATGGCAAGTAAACCTGCACACATAAACAATCACAATACGCAGTCTCCCTTTGTTTGTTTAGAAGCTAATGGCAGGATGAGGTGTTTCCCCTGAGCCTGTGAGGAGTGAGCCTGTTGACACACTCACATGCATCACTGAACACTTGACGATTGAGACAGCTCCTTCTCTGGTGTCCTTCTGTTTGTTGAGGACAAGAGTTAAACAGTTAAATTAGTGTGAACTTTTTTTTACCCTCTATCTGAGTGCTGCAGCAGCTGAAGCACGGCCCAAAACAGTGTTGGGTTGGGCCGTGTTCAGTGCTGCAGCACATTAAAGCCACGTTTCTAAGCCCCAGGGTGTTTGAAATGAATCAGATGCCTCGTGCTGTGAACTCTCCTCATCATCAGTTCAAAAAATGAGTCACAGCAGAATATAGACCCTCAGGGATGTTCCAAATCCAGGAGGAAAGAAAAAAATGGAAATAAATCAGGTTTAACCTAGAAGGCTTATAGCCAATAGTTTACTGAGTAAATTGAAATGTTTGATTCAAATCATTCTTTGCTTAAATAGCTGTGAGGGCTTCATGTTCATCTTGAAACAGGCAGTTTCCTTTTCTGTTTTAGACGCTCAAGTCTCTGGGGGGCGGGGAGGTTGGGGGGGCTGCCTGGTGTTGGTGTTGTGGTTAGATTAAGCTACACGGGGAGAGGGGCAGAGTGCTGGCCATGTGGACAGCAGTACATGACAAATGCCCTCTCCAGTTGTCACTTCCTGTGCAGTCGCCCTGACCCAAGCTTCCTGTCTTGATCCAGTGAAGGAGGAATGTAGATCTTAAAAACTCAAATAACAAACATTTATCATTATTCTTTGTTGTTTGGTATATGGGTTTGTGCAAAGTCGCATGTAAAGACCAAAACTAACAGCGCATTTGTCCATTTCTCAATACTTTTTGTAGCATTAAGCTTATTCATTGTTTAAATGTAAATCCCTTAAAATGGGTCACAAATATAAGAGTTGAGATCTTTTTTTTAAAGTGAAATGGTTCCCTACAACTGCTGAGCACTGTAGTTTTTTGCAAACCTTACATAAATGGGAATAAATGGTGTATTTGTTCTGGACTATTTTCAGCAGTGAATTAATACACATTTGTTACGCTCGTGAGTATATCCAGCAGCAGGATAGTGCATATGCACACGTCAGTCCTTAAAATAAACTATAGTGTTTGTGTTGATTGCAATGACGGAACATGTTCCCCAGTTGCAAGCGTGTAGTTCACTGATGTTTTTTTGGTTTGTTTCTTTAAGATTTTAGATAATTTTGACAGTCCATCTCACTGAGGAATAAGCTGTATCAAACTTTGGATACAATACTTGTTTGCAGGTTGAATTTATTGCTAGTCTTTTTATGGGATTGTCGAAAATAAGAAAAAGCTAAATAATGAAACGTCACATATTGAGGAAACAACAATCTTAAGTCCCTTGTGACGATGAAAAGACACTGTTTAAAAGCTAAATTAATGTAAATGTTAGTTTATAATGTTATAAAATGTGTTAAACAATATCATTCCTACTCTCCTCCCGGACAAAACTTACATGAGCTGTATATTTTTGCAGTGTGTCTGACGTGGTGAGGATGGTCACCAAGAAAGATATCCCTCCACACAAGAAGATGCTGGAGTTCCTCCCCTCATTTGTTGAAGAGGAGGGCGACGATGAGTCAGTCCCACCCATCAGATACCTGCTGCTGTGAAACCATCAACATGGAACTGCGTCAGGGTGGCAAAACCAACATAACATTGCTGTGATACCAAATCAGTTGAAAACAAGCTGATTTTGTTGCTTTAGCTGTTATTTACAGAGATTCATATCTGAATCTTTTGTCATGATGATACCATTCCATAAATATTTTGCTTTTATTATTGCGCTGGCATATTGTGAACATCACGCTTTGATAATGTTATGTAATTCCACAATCACAGTCTAAGCTATTTTGCTGCCCTTGCCATGCCCCAAAAAATATTATAAAATTTACATATATTGAAGTCAGCTTCCTCTTTTTTCTTTTACTCGCTGGCAAAAGAGGAAACGTAGCAAACTTTTATTTCCTTACTAATATTACCAGAAATGTTACCAGATGTTACCGTTTGCTTTGTGAAATGTGTCCGTTTGCTTTGTGAAATGTGTCTTTTGAGAGGTCGGGCTAAGAGGAGGTTGTGAAGATGCTTGCCAAGGCATATGGATTAGTTGATCTGGCTCTGCTGGGGCAGTCCTGGCCTGGTTTCAAGGTTTAATTCAGGTCAGACTGAGCAAGACGTTGAAGGGGTGCGGTCAGAACAGGCAGTTGGCACAGTGGGTACAGTGCTTTTTGACGATTCGGGGTTCTCTTGCCATCTCGACACAGCTGTCTTGTGTAAATCCCGATCCCAAGCACACGTGCAACCCGCTCCTTCCCAGAAGAATCCCATAGCTGGTCAGAGGGGAGAAGATGAATACATCTACAAAGCTCTTCATGTTCTCAGATGGCTTTTCGAGCATGTCGAGCCCTTTTCCACAACCTTACAATGTGTTTCACTTTACATTAACATGGTGTCATCTTTACAATTCTCTGCTCTCCGTGTTGGCTGTATTTGAATCTTGTCATGAAGAATCCTCTCTGAAATGAGCTAATACTTATATAATACAATACTATCACTTCGTAACCTTGCCTGTAATTGAAAGATTCTTTTATTAAACAATAATGCAACGATACAAATGTGTCCATGAGGAAGTTTGTGTACTTCACTAATAGACTTCAGTTCTCTTTTCATCTTTTTAAATTGTTCAAGCATCCCTATAGTTACTATGATGACCATAGTGATGCATGTTTCACACCGAAACTCTATTTTTTACCAGGAAACAGTTTTGTTGAATTTTTTTTGTAAGCTGAGATGTTGATAGTACATTTCTTTTCTTTAAAAAACACATGCTTTGTCAGGTTCACACCCAATCACTGTATCTGTCAAAAAACTGATTGAGCTTAAAAGTTCATCATCATATCAATGACCCTTCACCCCTATAACATTGCATGTTGTGTCATGAATGATTAAGAACTTTAAAACATTTTCATTATAAAAAACTTTTATTCCAGATGTATCAACATTGTGGACAAAATCGAAATAGAGCAATCTTATTATATATTGTGTTAAAGGGTCAGTCCGTAGTTACAGCCTCATTTAAATGTATCCAATAATGTCATTGCATATGATGGGTTGTCGGCTGCCTGTCTTCATGAGAGCGGTGAACTGGTAGAAGTCAGTGTCCAATTGGTGTAGGCCTGTGTGGGACTGGTGAAAGAAGGGTTTTAGAGCCTGGAGTCCCACAGGACAGGACATCCGTTTGGAAGCCTCTGCAGCCCTGCTGGCCCTTGTGGAGTCTGCTGGCCTTGGCCTCACCTCCACACTTTTAGACATCCCAGCAAGTCTGCGCCGCATGTTGACCAAAATGTCTTTGGCAAGACGCCTGCCTGCACTGGGCTTTAGTTGTGCTGGCTCAGGACTCTCTGGTAGGTCCATCCAGTTCTTAATTAGGTCAGCAAAGCTGTTGTCCCCCAGAACCAGGGGCTGTCTGTTCCTGCTGCGGCTCAGCAGCGATGTCGTCCAGTCCTCTGGGTCACCGGCCTCAAATGAGGTCCAGCGCTCCAGGCAAGCGTCCGAGGTTGATTTAGGCCGGATTCTGCCAGAAGGTCCTCTGTTTGTGCGAAGGCAGGCAGAAGAGGAGACTCGCACGTTTCTGGTTCTCCTCAGCACCACACCTTCATCCTGCCAAGAAGCCTCAGAGTAACCCGAGTCCAGGTCCAGACTCTTTTCGCTGCTTGGGGAACCTTGTGTCAACCTCTCATGCTCCTGCTGCTCTTCTTCTTCTTCCAGGGGGCTGGCCAGGCAGCAGGCAGAGTCATATGTGCTCGCTTCACTTGCATCAGAAACACGTAGACGCGTGAGCCGCTCTTGCTGTGCCCTCTGTTTGCAAAGCCGTGTTACAGCAAATGACTGAACACACGGTTCACTCAGTGGCCTCTGTCTGCTGATCTGCTTCAGGTCCTGCAGGGATCTCATCATGTATTGCATTTGGTCCCGGAGGCAGTCAGCAGAATCTCCTAAACACAGCTACACAATGAGAAAGACACAGAGACTTAACGGTGCAGGCAAAATTTAAATCTTAAGTCTTTTTAAAAACAACACTTCCAACCAAAAAGTTAT